CATATCTGGAAAAACAAGTACCATTAGATGTTCTAATTATATGTAGAATAATTATACCTATCGTATGTTGGTTGCACATTTAAGTTTTTCGACTCTGTCCATGGAGTATCTCTCTCTCTCTCCCTCTCTCTCTCTCTCCCTCTCTCTCTCTCTGTTTCTCTCTATCTCTCGTCTTTGAACCGCTGTCATCTCTTCTCTATTAGGGTTTAACCCAAGCATATATTTTCGGTTCCCAACCTCCAATACATTGGGCCAGTTGCTAATTCCGCACAATTATGTTTAACTTGCCTTAACCAATATGTTTGCCGCCAATATGTTTACCTTGCCTTAACCAGTAACATACCATTCAGCAATGACTTTCTGTTCTCTTTGTCAATCAGTTTACTCAAAGCATCAGTGACAATTATGAAAGAAAGAGATAAAGTAGGTTATTCTGCTGTGCACTCCTAAATCCATCGAACTTATGCCTATCCTCAGTTGATCATAAATGGAAAAAAAGTGACAGGAAAGGCATCTTTAGATCCAATTTCCGCCAGCTAATTTGAAGCCTTTTATTTTTTATCTAGCATAAAATCATGCAAGCCACAGTCAACTTGTTCATTATACACATGGCGAAATCAACATTAAGACCAGCCCTTGTTTCCGAAAAAGTATAAAGAAAGCAACATAATAAGGTGGAAGGAGAATTTCTTAGTGCTTGATTGGGTGATCTCGAAGCCGTTGAGTTTATTTAGCACTTAATCTACTTGAAGAGTTAAGACAAGTCTTATGGAGCCAAGTTGAATGAAGTTAAAAAGCATTAAGGATAATTGAGGCCCAAGAAAGATGAACCAGAGGCATGGTGTATCAAAGGGTTAGAATTGATTTCCCCCTAACATGGATAGATAAAAGCAAAGATGGAAGTCAAAGCCTCTTTAGTAATGAGTTCCGAATCTTATATTTTTCTCTGAGTACTCTCTTTTAAAGAACAAAGGCGAAACTGACAAACCTGTTGCCTTCTCACCATCACATAGGAAGGGACAAAAAACACTTGGAAGACGATTAAACTGTTAGTTTAAATTTACTCAAATTGTTGACAAATAACATGCCCACTGTTTATATTTTCTTTTTCTTTCTTAATTATTTCCCACTTTTTCTATAGTCTGGGTAATGTCTGTTAAGCATAACTTTCTGGTATTATTTCTTCGTTGACAATTTAATGAACTGTATATTCCCATTTCCACGCGATCTCTGAAGTGCCCAACCTAGTTCTTTTATTGAAGAAATACTAACACAGTACCAAGTCCTTATGATGAAAAGGTGTTTATTGTCATTATATTAATGTTACAAAATTTAATTGGAGTCTATTCTAGGCGGTTGTGTGGTTCCTCGCAAGATGGTCTTCAACATACTTAATGCCACTTGAGAGAAGTGGAGAAAATGGAAGCGGCTTGGAAAACAGAAAACACTCTGCCAACTCGTTGCTTAGTTTCTTTGGAGAGGAAAATCAGGGAAAAGTTGTGCTTGATATCATTATTCGCATCTCTTTGACCACACTTCTTTCATACCCAGGGGAGAAGGACTTGCAGGTACAAATCTGAAAGGTTATTTGTGTACTTTCTTAAGTGTTATGATTCAGTTCTCAGGGTTGTCTTAGGAAAACATAACAAATTGTGCCTGTTCAGAGGAAGCTCTTTCGATTTTTGTGTTCCATAACAGGGACTGACATGTTACCAGTTGCTTCATGGACTTGTTAAGCGGAAAGCTGTTATTTCCCACCTTATTACCTTGGTACGTTGCATCTCCTTACATATGAAGTAGATGATTAGTGTTTCTTTCCCTGCATTTGTTTTACGTATTATGCTTACTTGTAAAGTATGATTTTTTTGTTTGCGTAGATTCAAGAAGAATAGATACTGTGTATTGCTAATTTGAACATCCTCTAAACCAAATTGATGAAACTGAACTTGTTAGTTTACTTTTTCCATTCGTAATCCTTCGTGTGGGGTGTTCATGGAGTCTGTGGTAAAGCAAATGGGAAAAATGGATAATCGATATTACTAATCAAGAGAATAATTGACAACTTAGGACAAATCGCACCTAGCCTAAGGCTGATACTTTGGGAAGAAACTTTCTCCCTAGTTAAAAGTTGACAATCCATATTCAACAATAGATGAGTTTTTCTTATAATACATAGTGACAATATGCTTAAATAAATACAGAATCCTAGACAATAGGGTATTCTAACCCTATAAGCCCAAACCCAACTAATTCATCAACATCAACATCAACATACCCAGTATATTCCCAACTGGTTGGGGTCTGGGGGGTCAGTTGTACGCAGACCTTACCCTTGTAATTATAGAAGGAGGCTGTTTCCGTAGCGACCCAAGGTGCATTGCGTCGTTTGATATATTTTTTTTTCTAGAAACTTCACTAATAGAAGAAGCACTAGAATTTAATTGAGCCATTTTGATCTAGTCCATTATTAGCAACTAATTATTAAAACAAAATAAATCTTCTCTTCCAATTGATTCATAACGACTCTCCGCCAGCGAAAGACGTTTTTCTCAAGGCTCTGAACATGACTTCAAAACATGTCCCAAATCTTCACTGGAAGTAGGCATAAATGTTTTACGAATCAAGCACCTGCCTTTTTGGTTTATACCCGAAGAAAGAAAGTACAGAATACTCAACTTGACTTGATTGATGACTTACCATGTTTTAGCTAATAAATTAAGGGCTGAAATTATGGGATATTCCTGATTCTACCATATAAATTAGGAGGATAATATTGTGGAATATTGTATATAAATAATGGATTGGGACTTGGGAGAGGGCAGACTAGAGTTACGATTGTAATCGGCCTAGTGGCTGGGTAAGGTTCAACGGTCGGAAACTATTCTGGGTCTTGTATTCCTTTTCTCCCTTCCATCCAATAAAGTTTAGTTCCATACTAGGACAATTATTATCTCTTTCCTACTGCTCTTTACTTTATCAAATTGGTCCGACCTGCCGCCAATCACACATCACTTCCATGACAACTACAAGGGTGGAAAACCGTGTTAATTCGATAGAGAAGAGCATGGAGGCAATCACAGAAGAATTAGGTGAACATTGGAAGAAATTAGACAAGTTGGACAAGATAGAAGAAATGTTAGCCGTGTTGGTTAATAGCAGGGCCCAAGAGGCCAAGATACAGAGTCTGGCTCTGGCAACAGACAGGAGCAAACAACCGCGATTCAACACTGGAGACCTTACTTGATTGATAGAAGGTTCCAAAATCGTACAGACTACAGACCAACGGAGTTTGAAACATTTGTTGAGCCAAAGAACCACGACCCCAGTGCAGCAAAATTGGGTAGCCAAACTTATTGACTACGACTTTGAAATTGTTTACAAAACTGGGACAAGCAAGAAGGCTGCCGACGTTTTATCTCTCGACAGGGAGAGGAGGCTGAACTTTTGGCGGTTTCATTACTACAATGGGTTGAGTGGGATACATTGCATAAAGCGCAGGAACTACAAGAAATTATTAGACGCTTGGAAACCTGAAACAGTAATCAGAGCCCGTGCTCCTTAATAAATGGACAGCTTTTCTATCAAGGAAGAATTGTGATCCCTCATGCTTCTCCTTGGACAAAAAATCTAATACAAGAGTTCCGTTCAACTCCAACTGGTGGTCATTCACGAGCAGCATACAGGACTTGAAAAATCTTGTCCAGATTTAGAGCTTTTGAGACCTAGGAGTTTTACAATTAGGGAAAGACATTTAATTTCACAACTTGCAATTAGGGATCTCGGCTGATATATCCCAATTCCGGCCTCCTCACCACCGTTTTGCTGCCGCAATGTTTCTGATTGACCACTCACTGCGCCCAGATGTTTCACAGGAAAAACGAAGGACACGGAAAAGGAAGACAATTTTGTTTCTATATGAAAGCAATTTTTGGGCCTATTAATTAGGATACATCGTTTCCATGTCACAACTATTTTGGGCCTTAGCGTTTCTGGGCCTGATGCTACTAAACATGTGGTGGTTCTGAATGCGTTCTATTTTCATATTTGTCCCTTTATTTCTAGTCACTGTCAGGCCATAGTCCTATTTTTAATATAATCTTATTTTTATTTTCAGTTTTCTTTTTCTCTTTTTATGTTAAATTGTTAAAAGTTTTCTTATAGGAGCAAATCCATGCTATTCCCTGGTTTATGTTTAAGCAGTCTCTTTTCTTTTCCATTTTCTTTTCCTCTGGTTAGCAAAGTTCCTGGACTAGGGTTCTACCATGGCTTTTATAATTTTTTTTTCTTTTTCCTTTATAGTTCCAGACCAAGGATAAAAAAGGGTTATCTATTTTTTTCTTAGTGCTATTTATTTTCTTATTTTTAATTGTTACTCTTGAAATGGAAGTCAAATTATTTCACTCAAGATTGGGTCTCTCTACCAGGTGTTATTCCTGTGGCTTCAGGGGGTATTCACGTTTGGCATATGATAACAATCTAGATGCTTATCACTTTTTTTCTTTTTGGTTATTGACTATTTGCTTTGATAAATTTTGTGTTTCTTTATATTTTCTTGGTGGTATATGTGCTAAAGACTTGTGTTATGTATGTATGACTTGTGTTTTTGCCTTCTTGGGGATATTTGAGGTTGCTTTTTCCATTTATACTTTAAAGTAATTGCATCATTTATATCATTATTTTTTTACATTTTGGCACCTTATGTTGCTGAGGCCTCGCCTCTTGCCTAGTGGCCATGTCATGGGCAAATAACCTCGGATCGCCATTTGCTGAGGCCTCGGAACATTTTTTTACATTCCAATGCTCATTACTTAGTGGACATCTTGAACCAAAATATCCTTATTGCTATTTATAATTCATCATTTCGGGTGCTTGAAACCTCTGATTTATTTTTCAGGATTCATGGCACGACCTTGCAAATGCTTTTGCTAATCAAGGAGTGCTCTTCTCATTAAGTGCTGATCATCAGGTACTAAATTAGAATTGGTTTTTCTTGGCTAGTTTATTATATTTTATATGTTGCTCACAGTTTGTCTCTTCTATTATTAGGAAAAATTTCAACTTTTTTTTTTTTCCTCAAATGCTATCATTAGACATGGTCACATGGGAACTAGACCTTAATTGTCTGATGCTAAGAAGTACCATACCTGCTATTCTTTGTCCGTCAACTTGCTTTGCTTGTTTTTTCTCCAGAAGTTGTATGGTTCCGTATGCTTTGTCTCCATTTATACATAAAAGAAAAAAGAAAAAAAAAACATTGTTTTTTATTTGGAGTTCATTGGAGACTAATGTATGTTTTTGTGTGATGATTAATTGCTTCCTTACTGTCTTTTCTCGAGGAACCATATGAATCTTACTCAAGATGCAGAACTTTGATAGGCGCACGTTTAAAGCATGCATGGCCGGTGGTTGGTTGGAGAATTTGTTATTGTCTTACTTTGTCGCATTTAACCATGGGCGGACTGCTGTCTATAGCATTAGTTTACTTTGTCTTGTCTTGTGACACTTTGGGGCTTGGGCAGACATAGCCTTTAATTCCTTGTCTATCATTTATTTCATTGTTCTCTTAAGCTGCCTAAAGTTATGGTTCAAGTTTGATTGGTTTAAGCTAAATGAGTCTTTCAATACAATACTCTCTGTTTCAACATCTTTTCTGATTTCAGCGTTCGCTGGCCCAGACACTTACTTTGTCAACGTCTGGCATGAAAACTTCTGAGGCATCAAATCAGTGAGTTTATCTTTTGTATTCCAATATTAATATGTTAAGACAACTAATTTACATATTCTGGTGATTTGTAGGTATATAAACAATCTGACAAGCCACATGATATCCTCTTTGGTGGAACTATCTGGAAAACCTGATCTGAAAATCATTGGTCAACAGCCTCACATCATTTTATTGGTAAACTTTGTGCACTATGTTATCAGTGTTGTAGGATATATTGAGAACATTACAATTGTTATCACCATGACACATGCTAGGTTAGTTGCCTGTTGGAACGACTTCGTGGAGTTGCCAGAGCATCCGAACCTCGTACGCAGAAGGCAATTTATCAAATGGGATTCTCAGTGATGAACCCCGTTTTGATCTTTCTTCAGATATACAAAGACGAGGTAATTGTGTGTCTTGTTTTAGAACAAATAAACTTGTTGGGAATATACTGGGTATGTTGATTTTGATGTTGATGATGTTTTAGAACAAATAAATTGCAATTTGGATGGGACTTGTCTCAACTGTAATGTAGATAGTTCACATTTGTCTATCAAAGTAATTTGGGAAGGAGTTTTTCTTTTTCGTTTTTCTTTTTTGTTTTAGAGAAAGGAAAATCAGATAAATTGTCCAGAAAAACCACAGCTGGGATCCTTCAGCGTGGCTTGGATACTCTTTGATTTGGGAAGAGTTGAGCGGGATTATAGTGGGACTTGTAATGTTCACTATGCATGTGGAATGGTTAATATGTTGTCTGTTTCCTGTTAATGAATACAATTAATTTAGTCATCTCTAGTTATGGATGAAAACTTGGCATTTTATTTTTTGGCTTGTAGCCTGATAACTAATCTTTGTTTACAATGGTGTGAATTCAATATGTATGGCCTGGTCTCTTTAGAAGTGATTGTAACCATACTTATTATTTGATCAGATTCTTACATCGAACTTTTTTTTTTGGGAAATGTTGATATTGAAGCAGAGTTATTAATTTCTCTACTCTGAATCTTTTATTGGATTAATATCTGATATTATAGCAGAATTATTAATTTTTGGTTTTACTTTCTCCCTGTGTAGTCCATAGTTAACTATATTCTGCTCAAATTTGTCGCTGATTGGGTGGACGGTCAAATTATCTACTTAGAGGCTCAAGAAACTGCTGCTGTTGTCGACTTCTGTATGCGTTTGCTTCAGCTTTACTCATCTCACAATATAGGCAAGGTATATCTTTTGGTCTAGAGATGAAAGAAAATTGTGAGATTATGAAATATGACGAGTGTATATATTTGTCAATGTTGCAAAATTGAGCCTACGCGACCATGGCGAGAAATATCAAATTGGAAAAAAACTTCGTTTTCTTTGTTACGCTCTGATTATTGAACTCTAGTATTTGTACATATATCAACGCATTCGTATCTGCAAACCTACTCATACATTTTGGATACTATATTGAGACACCGAGAAGCTGTCTGTAGCGACACATAGGAGGCAAATAGTTTATTTATATTTTATATCATCTAATGTTTGAGCATTTGGACAATTGAATTTGTTGACGGGCATATTCTAGTGCTTTATTTGGGTTTGAGAACTGATACGTAATCTAAATCCACAAAAATGTTGCAGGGTAGTTTGAGTACTTAATATAATATTATATTAAGGCCTGCCAGTTAATCTAACATTTTTCTGGTGTAGTTTTAGTTGAACTCAAAACATTTGATCTACTGGAATCATTAATAACCTGATTGATTAGAATTCTGACATTTCACTGTAAACTGCTAGAATTGACCGGTAATATTTGACTGCTCCAGATTTCAGTTAGCCTTTCAAACACATTACGCACTGAAGCAGATACAGAGAAATATAAGGATTTGCGCGCACTCATGCAGCTTCTCTCAAGTCTATGTTCAAAAGATCTCGTAACTCTTTTAACTTCCTTATCTGTAATATTATGTTGTTTAGCCTCCTCGTTCTCCACTCGGGTCATCTTTAATTCCATAGTAGCAATATTCTGTTTTCTTTAGAACCCTCATTCTGCAGACTAAATATATTTGATGATATTTTGGCAAACAATAGAATATTATTTAAAACTGTAATAAAATTGGCGTTTCATGACTTCAAGGTAGTTTTAATTTTATGCAAGATAAAGCCTTGTCAGGTATACAAATTCATAATTTAATGATCATGCGTAGCAGGAATCTAAGTCATGATTCCTTCACAAATTGATTCAATGACAACACTGAGTCTTCATTACTATCCTTACTTTTGCCACCTCTTGTGGAAAACTCTGCATAAGTCTAATATTATCAATTCTGGTACGTGCACCAAAGAATTGATGCAAGCCATATTTCCTAGATTCTTGGTGATGCAGTACAACATGCAATCTATTTATTCTGCTTGCATATTTCAATCTTCATGTCACCAACAGTTTTCAACCATTACTTGACCGATTTGACTACTGAATGAAATGCATGTTCTTTAGGTTGTGACAAAAGAAGCATATTGAACTTTGGTAGTTGTAGGGACCCATTTTGGAATATTGTGGTGTCATGCATTTCTATAATAACTCTGGTGCTTGTAAATCTGAACTGAAGATACTTCTAATAGGTTGACTTTGCATCTGAACCAATTGAGGCCTATGGTACAAATATTTCTCAGGTATGTTATTAATTGAAAAGTTTATTGTGATCAAAGCAACAAATCATATTTTGCACTTTATGTAATAAAATTTTATACTGCAGTGGTTCTGATTGTATTTGTTCTGAAGGTAGTATATATGGGTCTTCACATAGTCTCTCCTTTGATAACTCTGGACCTGCTGAAATACCCCAAACTGTGCCACGATGTAAGGTTTTTATTGTTATTTGGTAAAAGGAGGATAGTATTATTATTGTGTGAACTAATATGAGTTGACATTTTGTTCATTGACAGTATTTCTCATTGCTGTCACACATGCTGGAGGTTTATCCAGAAATAATTGCAAAGTTAAATGTTGAGGCCTTCAGTCACATTCTTGCAACTCTCGAGTTCGGTCTTCATCATCAGGTGAAGTACATTCCCAATATAAGATTTTGGTATTGACATAAGATTTTCTTGTTTAGTAAGATTTTCTTCTTTTGTAAGTTGATGTACAGTGGTTTTTCCACTAGCTCAGAATATGACTAAACTAGACCACAGATTTCTCATAGAAGGGGATTATAGACTCCAAGTTGCAGAAGACTATCTTAATTATTGTTTGACCTTAGGATGTTGAAGTTATTGACTTATGTCTAAGAGCTGTGAAAGCACTTGCTTCCTATCACTACCAAGATAGAGGTGCCGGTAAAGTTGGTTTAGGGTCACATGCTACCAGCTACAAGGAACCTGATGGAAAATTTCATGAAGGCATTCTTAGTCGATTTCTACGCTCATTGCTTCAACTTCTTCTTTTTGAGGACTATAGGTGAGTCTGAGATAATTTATTTGAACCGATGGCATATATGAATATTCCAACTAAAGAACAATTTCAGAATGTTTTGTGGAATTCTGTTTCGATGGAATGTTAGCATAGGTCAGTCACTTGGCTATTGAGATACAATTGTTGCAGTAAATTCATAAAGAGATCAAACTTAAATTTACAAAGTTGATTGCATACACTAAAGAATAGCCATGTTGTTTTGGTTTTCAATAACACTATGTGATGCTTGTCTCGTTTTATTATGTTACAGCACGGATCTTGTCGGCTCTGCAGCTGATGCACTCCTTCCACTTATTCTTTGTGAACAAAGTGTTTATCAGGTAGGTGACATATTGTATTTCTTTTACTTGGCTTTGATTGTAGTTTAAACAAAAGAATCACACCTTGACATGTGTTTGTTTAATGAATATTTACTAGTAGTAAATATTAAACTCTAGTTGGCCTTTTTCCGCTTTTATGACGTTACGGACTCTTGTCTTTGCCTGATCTGGATAAAATAGTCCCAACAATTTATATATAATGTATATGCCAAGGCTGTTATTTTATTTTTTATTTTTTTTATTTTTTTTATTTTTTATGCCAAGGCTTGACATTGAATTAACGATCTCAAATTTCGGGGTATAAAATCCGACTTCAATGCCTTGCAGAGCTTGATAAATGAGTTGATAAAAGCTCAG